TACTTTCCTAAATTTACTTTTCACTTGAAAACTCAACTTCATGTGAAAAAAGACACAGCACCCTAGGTAGTCCGTTTTTGAGATCTATATCTCTCAGTAACTTTCCATAAAAAAGAAACACCTCCTGATGCATTACTCATTACAGCAGAAGCACCTATATTTAATATTGCCATATCCAGCAGTTTACGTGTTCATTTTCACACCTGTCTTCTCTAGAAGAGATCACTGGGCATGGTATTTTCATGGGTTGGCCAGGCTGTAGTCAGACAAAGAGGGGCAGAAATTTGGGGGCAGACCAATAGGAAACCTGTGTTCCTTAGATTCAACAGAATAGTTGTAAAATCTATCCCTAAAATTCTCTTCTACTTTAATGCCTCAGAATAGAATTTAGAACACTATCTTCAAAGAATAAGTGAAACAGACATAGTAATGAAGTTTCCATTCCTAGTCTAAATACAAATTACTCCACAAGAACTGTTGTCATAACTGGATGAAACTGGTGTAATACCTAATTTGTGATGATTCTAATAATAAAAATAGAATAATAAAAACAATATCTACTTCACAATAATGCAATTGGGACTAACTTGGTAAGTGTGGTCATTAAATGGGTTTATGTTGCATGGAGTAAATACTCAATCATGGTAATTCCCTCTCCAACCTCCACCTCTTTGAAAATGAAGCAGTTAAATTTCTAGCAATGTGTCTTCTCTGGAATACAACCAGAGGTATCATAATTGTTCATAGAGAATATGGAAAACTTTGAACTTTGTTTGTAATGTAGAATAAAAACCCACCAGAACACTATTTACTTAACTTCAAACACTAAATAAAAAAATAAAATGAAAGATCCTTTCTGAAGCAGGATTCTTTGATTCTTATTCCCAACTTAGGTTTATGAAACTCAACAGTTGTTTCCAGTTTCATGGGTATATGGCTACATTCCAAGAACGTGACAAACATTACTCATAAATAAATTACTTCCACTGAAAATACCCATGAAGTATTTTGGAGATGAAAAATTAGGAGGGGCTCTCAGTGAAATAAAAATTCTCTTTATCACTGGTCTAAGGTCTGATGTCTCTAAAATAGTAACACTAAAACAATACATGAAAAGGCCACCTCTTTCATTTTTAAGTAGTTGCTTGTGTTTACAAAACATAAATATCTACACACAATACATAAATGTGTGTGTGTGTGTGTGTGTGTGTGTTATAAAAAACAATCCAAGTGTGGTCACCAAATGAAATAAATCACCAAGGCAGTTGAGCTTTTTGCCATATGTTGAATTGTAAATTCTTCGTGTTACTTGTTTTCCAATTTTAATTATTATTTATAAATTATGATGTTTTTAGAAATGATGTAAAAACAAAGATCTACATTTGAGGGTCATGCTTTGCTGACTTGTATTCAGAAGTAAGCTGTTTGTTTTAGGGTAGACTGAGGATCTGAAGCATTTAAGAGGAAACACTTAACAGCTACTGAAGCTGAGATATGAACATCATGTAAACAAGCTGAGGAACACAACCTAGTGTACATTCAAAATCACAGTTCTCTCATGTGCAAGTCTGGTATTGTTTCTGTTTTGGTCAAGATACACTTACACGCATGCACACATGCATACACAGAATGACCAATGTTCTATGATCAAGCAAGCTGTTTTCCTATTACCCTATCCCTGTGTGATCTATGGATAGACATCATCAGCATCTCTTGAGGGTCTCATAGGGACAAGAATCTTGGGCGCCCCTACAGACCTAGTAAGAATCTGCATTTCAACCAGATCTTCTGGTAAGTAATATTCCCTTAAATATTGAGAAGCACCACCTAAACCACTTGATTTTGCATTTTATTCAAGGACCCCCTTCTCACCCAGAGTCTGTGTGTGCTAAGATTATACTAATATATATAGCTACATAGAGAGTCAGTGTGTCTTATCCTAGCCACACATTAAAGTTATCTGAAGTTTTAAAATTAAAGTATCAGATGCTTCTTCAGATAATATAGTTTAACCTGTCTGAGAAAGGGTCTGACCAAAGGATTTTTAAGCTCTTTTGATAAATCAAACATGCAATCGAGGTTACAAACAATGGAAATTTTGTATTTAATTTCTACCTGTAAACATAGAAATTTATATTATCATATTGCAGAGGAACTTGGACAGAATTTCTAAACATGGATTTAGAGTCAGATCTTTCTGACTTTGACTTTCTCTCGGAGGCCATCGTGCCAACAGTAGGTTCTCAACATGCCACACTCTGTGGGAAAGCCAAGAGGAGCAGGGCAAAGATAGGAGACTGAAAGACCTTAAGGCCAGAAAAAACTGAGATGGAAAAAATGAAGAACAGGGAAACTGCTTCTGCTCAAAAACACATCAGTTAGGTACTGCATCCACTGAGATTATTCAATAAGCAAAGAGGGGATTGAGTGAAGAGGGAAGCTGCAGGTCTACAGACACTATCACAAACCAGATAAAGCAAATGGGCTTAGACAAGAGAAAAGCAGGACTGAGCACAGCTCTTCAACCAAGTACCCTACGCTTTGTGGGCTGCTTTATCATTGCTGACCCATCACCTGACAAGGTTACCATTTTGGTGAACAAGAAATATTCTAAAATTTGTTGAAACCAATGAGGGTGACCAGCCAGAGACTGCTATGTGGAACATTCCCACAGAGTTGGGGAGGATGTGAGTCATGCCTTCCTGCATCGTTAAAGCAAGACGTGTAGATTTTTAAAAGCACTTATCATAAATGAATTCCTTCATCACCATCTGTTCACTTTTGGTACAGGAAATATTACAAAACTATTCTTGTTATATGGATTTCCAGTTAATAGTTTAAAAAAGGTGTCTCCTTTCTTTAAAGATATTTGTAAATCAGTCAAAAGAAATGGGTATTTTCCTTTACTTAACTTTACTTACTTGGAATAGGGTTAAGTCATGCTCTTTGTCAGCTGGCCCAATTCCAGGGACTGGGTCTTTCTCAGGGGGTACTAAAAATTCTAGTATGATCCTAATATGTGGTGGTTGACTTTGAAAGTTTGATTTAACTGCCAGATGTGTGAGACGGCACATAGAAAACTCCTTAGTGCAGTTAGTGAAGATGCTGAAGGGTAGCAGCAATATTACAGAGGAAGGCAATAATATCCCCAGATTCATTTCTCATTTTAAAAGATCCTTTTGTTTGTACAAACACCATTTTTGTGATATGTAAGATTGTACCCATATTTTGTATGCCTGTTTTTAAAATAAATACCCAAATTACATAGACTTGAAAATTTGCCTTCTAGGGGTAAAAATGACATGTAAGTATGTCCTTCTTCTGTGCAAAAAACAAAAACAAAAAATACTTGTATATAAATGGCAAATGACAAATGTTCTGCCTTTTAACCATGGATATATTATCCTCAAACCAATGAAAATTTTGAAAAGAAAAGAGTGATGAGAAAAATAATAGTGGTGAAAGATTTTAAGTAACTACTTCTCTTTATTTTGAAATAAGTACTTTGTCTTTTAATCTCTGTTGTTGTCAATGTCACATTAATAGCCACAATGTTTTAAAATACTAAGAAAACTAAGTTTGCAGAACTGGAAAAAAAATAATTTTGCATTAGAGAATCCTCTGCCATGAATTTGTATCAGTGATAAACCTTCTTTTCCAAAACTCATGGAGATTTGTTTTTACTGAGCCTGCAAATGTTAATATCACTTATACAATGTCCAGGAAAAAGGATTTAGAGAGTGTGAATTGTGAGCTCCACATCAGCTAAACAACTCAGAGGCACTCTGCCCCCTGGTGGAATATCCCAGGGTGGGTTTTGAAGAAAGTTGTCAAAGCTTCACTTCTCACACTCTTCCCTAACCTTTATCTCTAAAACTCTAGGGAGGTGTCCAGGTTGAGGTTTTCGCCCCCTATACTTACATACTCATTGAATCAACAATTTCCTTTTATAAAATTCTAAAATTCTTGGCTACCCAATCAGTTATTCACGTCTAAAATAAAAACCATATTTGTCATTGTTGGTTATCATGGCTTTATAAGGATTTTAAAAGTTGAAAATGAGGTGCTGAGAAAAGATGTGGATGTGGCCATGCACTTTGAATTTGTGGAAGATATCCATAAATCTCTAGACAAGGAAAAGAGGGAAGAGAATTTAAAAGTGAATAAGACAGTTCTATAGGAAATTAAATATTTGGTTATTTCTTCTTGGCCATTAGAGACACTGTAAACTATTTCTTGTGCTCCCTTTTGTCCTTTCGGCTGAATGTCCCCAGCCAAGTCAGATAATTACAAAAAGCTGCAAACCTCAGTCATTTCTAGTTTATCCAAGTTCTTTCCATTCAATCTAGTTGGTGTTCCCCAGTCCACTCTCTTCCAAAGAGCCCTGCATTCCTAGGCTATAGGTGTCTTGCATTCATAAAAGAGGCACTGAGAAATAATGACTAAGAGGAGGTACCATCTCTGAATTTAAAAAGAAAAATGTCAGGCATCTTGATAAGGACTTTGCATGTATAGGCTCTAAGCCTTTGCAACAACTTGCAAGTAGATGATATTTTGGAAAGAGAACCATACAGTTTTAACCTACTTCATTCGTAACTAAAATCTTATTCCAAAAGCTATCCTTCTGTATACTTTACTGGTCTTCATATAAATCACCCTTGCCCCCCAAGTCTACTTCTAACTCAGATCTTTTTTTCTTCATTTTGTATTTTAAGCATCATATAGTACCTTGGAATCTTACTACCTACCTAGAGATTACACGTTCCTTCGAAAAATGTTGGTCTGGAAAACACTTGTGACAGAGGATATGACTTACCCTCTTTGCAGGACATGAGAACACATTTCTGTTTAATTCCTTTTAAGTTCTTCCCTTGGACACTAAATCCCCAAGTCACCACGACACAGATCAGTCTGCCCATGGACTCAGTTATTATCAGTCATTCTTTCAAGAAATTTCAAACTTCCAAATACAATCCCAGAATCCAATGAACTAACCACTATTCAATGATTTGTAGAACGCAAAAAGAACTTTTATTTCATTATTTTCTGAAATTTCACTTTTAGTTATACATTTGCTGAAACGTGGAATACCAAAGGCAATTTTCAGTCACAGCAACTCCATTGAATACACTTACTTGACTGAGTGAATTATAGTCCTCTCAGGGTTTCCTGGTTAAAGAAGACAAAACTAAGATAATAGAGAGGAAAAGTGACAAATATTGTTCAGCAGGAAATTTGCTGAACTCAATAAACATTCATTCATGGGTGCAGTGTCCATTTTTTAAAAGGAAACTCTAAAATTCCTAGAAATACAAGACAATATTGGTATCTTTAGATGAGTATACATTCATATATCTGTGTGAAATTTTGTGCAATTAAACATTATGGAAATATGTTATTTGTTACCACAGACAATGAAAATATATTTTCATTTCTATGTAAGTTAAACATTTCCATCTCTCATTTTATGTTCTGCAAAAAAGCCACGTGTCTAGTTTATGAAATAAACTATGCTGTAGGCAATAGTAACTGAAAAAGAGCTTAACAGTCTTAACTGCATACCCCTGGGATGAATAATACACTTTGCATAATCATGTGCAATGCTGGATGATGATTCTAGATCTCATAACTACAAGAGTTTGCAAGCTTTTACTTGATACAGTATGCTCCAAATCCAGTCAATTCAGCCAAATAGTCAAGCAATAATTAAGGTGGGTAATTTACAAAATGGCAAACAACCCCTTTGACTAAATTGACCTTGTTTTGTTAATATGAGGACACAATCATTGCAGGTGCCCAATGAAGAAATCATTTGTAAGTAGCTATTTGTTTCAATTAATTTCCCCCCCCCACTAAGGCTCTTAGAAGTTGACTTAATTACCTCTTAGGCCCCAAGAAAACACAGCCACATAAACAGAAGACCAACATATTAATAACACACACACAAAAAATAACATGCTCTGTGTACATTCCTCCATGGGAGAAATGTTACAAAAAGTGAACAAATTAACCTGGGGAATCCAGCAAAAGTATAGGATTATCCAATGCCTAAAATTTTTATCTTACTCCAGTGACCGGTATAACATTGATTAAAATTTCCTTTTTTACTTAGCTTACATGTGAACTTTTGAATACTACATTTTCCATAGTCATTACCCAAAGCAAAGTTCTGTGCATTAGGCAAGCAGTGTACTTCAGCTCAACACATCTATTGTCTGAGGATCTGGACTGGGGAGCTTCAAGCAGAGAGTGAATCCATTTTAAAGATAACTCACTTCTGCAGATAAATCATATCATCTACAGTTATCCCTCTGAAGAAAGGGGTATGAATCTTTGGCTTATTAAATGCTCTGTGTACACATGTTTTTTCCATGCAGTTGATCCTTTAGGAATACTTCGGCTTATTAAGATAATGTATTTTAAAAAATCTTTTAGTGTGTGATTTTACCCTGGAATGGGAAGTCCTCATAATAAATTTGAAATAACCAAGTCAAACTTGGGGGGAAAAAGATACGTCTAAAGTATTCGAAATATTATATTCTTTGAGATGACAGGTCTGTGACAAATTTCTAAGGTTAAAAGGCTTGCCAGTTTCCTGGTTGGTAAATCTGAGGTTTGGTTCTATATATTTTAAAGAAAATAGGCTCAATTTCAGCCTCTCTAAGCTTTTCAAAATTTCTTGCATTTTATTTTCTAATAATCTTTGTTCCTACCCAAACTTTAATAGCAAGAAAAATGAAACAAGTTTCTTTCTCCTATCCCAATACATACAGATTTTAGGGCTCTTGCTGCATATTAAAGATTTCTGGAGAAGAAAACTAGTTCTCCTGGTTACTTTATATGCTCACACACAAAGGAATCACAGATGGGGAGGAGAGTGCAAATGACTATCAGAAAAAATGTCTCATGCATTTTAAGATTTTTTTTTACAAGTCAAAATATACATCCTCCATTGCCCCCCTTATTCCTTAGCTGTATAAAAAACCATTCCTATTTCATTAGTCTTCTTTACATTTCACCTAATTGGATAAAGAAGAGAGATACTTTTCTTTTCAAGGAACAATAAATATCTAATACTAATCGGTTTAACCGACTGCATTAATAAGACATATAGCAGCACTTTGGGCTGAATTGCCCATTATACCCTTCATTTATGGGGATTTGAGTATGTAAAATGACAAGCACATGGAAATAGGGAGGAAAAATAAAGTAATCTGCAGACTTTGGCACTAGCACACAAAATATTTTGAGTTGTGAAAGTTGTAGTTTGACAATCACTAAACAAGAATTTAAAAAATTAGAAATCTGCAGAAAACAATCATAGGTGTTGATTCTCAATATATCACTCCCATCTCCCACTCCCACCCGCCCACCCTATATAGTTTCAATATAATAAAAATAGAGATCTTAGCATCAGAATTTTGCTGTTAACTCTTCAGGGTTCTCTGTGCCATCCAAGACACATTTAGGGTTTGAAGCACCAAATCCACAAGTTTCTCCAACCAAGTTTAAATAAACAAAAACTGAAGACTGAAGAATGCCAAAGTAACTGTTCTTAAATTAAGCTGTAACACAATGTTCTCCCCAAAACACAGGGTATTAAGTGTCTAGTTCAAGTACTGCCAGGCTGTTTGTAGATCTGTCTCAGACAGGCTTCAGACAACAACTACAAGTACCACTGGCTTTAGAGGGCATCATCCATGATACTAAAGCAGGGCAGGGATCACCTATCCATCATCAATTTTTAAGTTGCAAACCCCTTTGTGATTGGCTGCCGCAGTATCTGTGCTGAGCCCAAGGTTTGAGGGGAGGAGGTGAACCTTCTCCTCAGCAGGGAAGCTCTACATTTAGTTTGAACAGTTCTCCTTTCAGAGCTCTCAGGGCTGTCCTGGCTTCTCAGGATCCATTGCCCTTGCCCAGAAGAGAGAGCCTTGTTCGGACCCAGTAACAGCGAAAGAAGATTCCACCTACCTGTGGAAAGACCCAACTTGGTCCCCAAAGGTCGCTTAGGCGACCCCACTGCAATTGGCAAGTCAACTTGCGCACTTAAAACGTATCAGTTTATGGAACGCTTGTTTGAAATCCTCATTGGACATGGTATAGATGATGGGATTGATGAGGGAATTTAGATAGCCTAGCCACGTGAAGAAATCAAAGATGGCCATGTGGAACCAGCAGGCATCCTTGCAGATAGGTATCACCAGGGAGATGATGAAGAAGGGCAGCCAGCACACAATAAATGCTCCCAAAATTATCCCCAGGGTCTTGGTGGCTTTGCGCTCTCTAGCGGCCATGAGTTTCTTCTTTTCCAGCAAAGCGTCGGAGACTCGCACTTTGACTTGGTTCACATACACTGGAGACCCAGATTCGCTGGGCACATCGGGAGCCCGCGAATTAATGGAGGTGACAGAGGACGTGGACCCAGGGGAATCTGTGATCAGCTGGGCTCGGGTCAAGCGCTTGCCGGTCTTGTTGGGCGTCTGTTTCAAAATCCGCGAGCGGGCTTCCACATAGATGCGGCCATAGAGGGCGATGAGGAGCAGGGTGGGTAAGTAGAAAGCACCCACCGTGGAGTAGACCGTGTAGAGGACGTGGTCGGTGTTCACTAAGCAGTCCAACACTTCTTCCTCGGCTTTGGCCTGACGCCAGAAGAAGGGTGGTAGAGAGATAGAGATGGAGAAGACCCACACCAGAGTGATCATGACAGCCGCCCTTTTGGGAGTCCTTTTAGCTGAATACTCCACGGCATCCGTGATGGCCCAGTAGCGGTCCAGGGCGATGACACAGAGATGCATGATGGAAGCAGTGCAACAGGTGATGTCCGACGACAGCCAGAAGTCGCAGACCACCTGTCCCAGTGTCCAGCGACCCGTAACCGTGTACATAGTGCTGATGGGCATCACCAGGATGGACACAAGCAGGTCGGTGACGGCCAGGGAAGCTATCAGATAGTTAGCCGGGGTGTGCAGCTTCCGGGTCCGATACACCGTGGCGATCACAAAGGCATTGGAAAGCGTGGTGGCCAAGGTGAAGAGCGCCAGCAGCACAACCAGCAGTACTTTCCAGGGTAGGGCAATGGAGTCCTGGTAAATGTAGCTCTCCGCTGCGCTGCAGTTGTGGGAGGGAGCAGCAGAGAGGTTGGCTTGGGGTACCCCGATCTGAGATCCCGCGGGCGGCGGCTGGGCGCACTGAACACTCGGTCCCTCCATGGCTCTTCTGGCCCTAGCTCTGGAGCGCAGCTCTTGGGCATGGAGCGGACGAGGAGGACAGCTGAAAATGGAAGGTTCATAGAGACCACAGTCTGGTCTCGCCTTGAAGTCAGTTCCGTGGGTTTCTCTCTAACTCCTCCGCCCAGGTTCCTTGCTGAAACTAGAGGTCACCCTCGCAGCAGGCAATCAGGCGGGCGCGTCCTCTGCACTTCCAGTGCGCCTGGCGCTGCGTCTGCGTTACTGACTGCTCCTCTCCACGCCCTGTCCTAGCCCTGGTACCTGAAGAACTGACCCACCCAGCCCAGCTCTGGTTTTGCTCTCTGGAGAAACAAAGTGGAGAAGGGAGAGGTATTGCTTGAAGATAGGGGCTGGGTCAAGTGGGATCTCTTACCCTATTGCTCAGGGCTCAGCATCTCCTAACCTGGGCGCTCCTGTATCTGCACACTCCGCCCGCAGGAGTTTTCTAGCAGTAGAGACCAAAGCTTGCAGGCCAGCCAAGAATCTTGGTCTTGCATTCCCGACCCCCGCCCCACGCTGGGGCACTTTCCTGCGGCGATTGCAGCCGCCAAGCTGGGTGGGGTGAAGTCTGGGAGCCGCGCTCCGCGGCGCCTTGCGCTGTAGCTGTCCTCCTTCTCTTTTCACGCGCAGACCAGTTGGGCGAGCTGCCCCGTGGAGAAGGGGCCGCAAGAGGGGGGATTCGGGGACTGGAGCTGTGGCTGCTGGCGTCGTGCCGCCGCTGCCACCACCACCTTGGTTCCACCAGCACCGCTGGGAGCCATGCCGCTGGGCGCGCGGGTCTGGGGTACTTGGAGCCGCACACTGGGAAGGAGTAGGTGTCTGAGAGAGCTGGAGGGACCCGGCAAGCGCCAGCCTGGGAGAAGCCTGTAAGTGGCGGAGCAGATGGGCTCCTTTTATAGAGTCCGAGTCCAGTCCGCCAGAGCCATGCAACTCGTGCGGCTCGGCGAGTGCGGACGCCTGCTCCACATCACCTTCGCTTTTTCTCTCTCCCTCCCTCTTTTCCTCCCGCCCCGTTCCCTTCCCGTCCAAACAAGCTCCCGCCGGGTCCTACTGCCCTCTCTCCCCTCTTCCCATCCCCTGTCCCCTCTCCTGACAGATACCCGAAGTCGCAGTTCTGGCTGAGAATGGGGATAGGGACGTCCTCTTCTCCGTGCGGGCTTTGGAGCTTGTGCGATTTCCGACACTGAACCCTACACCTTCAGATGCTGTTACAGGCTTTGTCCCAGTGTCCCAGTCTAGGTCTCCTCCTAAGCCCCCTTCCCTTCATTCTTGGAGGGCAGTGCTTGATGGAGCAAGCCTGAGTCTCTGATCTCTCTACTCTGGAATCTTATCCACTGAGTGCCACACCCAGATTAGAAGGAGGCGCCAATAATATCCTCCTTAGAAGGAAAACAGTCTTTTTATACTTAGGGTTTCACGTTATCCTTAACTCTTGGTACATTAAAAAGTAATTTTTCATAGCTCGGTTTAGAAATTCGTGCTTGTCGTTCAATTCCTCTCCTTTAACTTCGTGAGTCAACAGCGGGGGCTAGAAGCTGTCTACAAAAATGTAGAAGTATCACAAACAGAAGCCTACTGCATGTGAAATTAAACCCTCCGCTCCACCGGAATGCTCCAAGCCTCTCAGCAGTTCAATACTCTGGAAAACAGTTCCCCTTGAGCATGTACCTTCCCACAGCACTCCTATAAAGGAGGTCATCAGAATTCAAAAAAAGAAAAAAAAAAGGCTCTAGAGCCATGCCATCAGCATTATCAGTATACCTTCTCTGCCCTCAGAAAATACATCAAGACCTTAGCCGTAGGCAGCAGCAAGCAATAGCAGTACTTAGATCCCATTTACACTGAGCTAATTCCCTGTTCTCAGTTTCTCCTCCAATCTCAACAAAACAAATGTAACGTGGATGTACATCAGAAAGTTTAAAAGAAATCACCAGGAAAGACAATGTTTCTTCAGTTCTAAGAAATAAGTGATCCCCACTAGAAATTCCTAGACCCCTTAAATGTTTGGCATGTCCAATATGTCTAATAAAAACCATACTGTAATTGAATTTATCAGGTTAAATGCAAGCATATTTTAAAGAGAGCCATTCACTCTCTGAGTCAAATATTATGTGATTCATCCATCCAGTTTTAGAGGAAGAATAATTGAGATCCTTTGCAAAAAGGACCTTTTCTTCTTGTCTCCCTCCCCCCTTAGAAATAGAGTCTCACAATGTCATCCAGGCTGGTCTAGAAAGACTGAGCTCAAGAGTTCCTCCTGCCTCAGCTTCTGAAGTAGTTGGGACTACAGATATGCACTGCTGTCCTGGCTAAGAAGAGCTTTTTTCTCCAAGGTGACACAGCCTAAACCCAAGTTTCCTTAATTCTTGGCTCTCTAAGCTACGCAGGTATAAAAACCATAAAACACCTATTCTATGAAGGATATTATTCTAGGTACTAGGAGTATTGATGCCAATAGGGTAGGGGCAGACCCAGGTTTCCAGCGGCCTGCATTCTAGGAGAGGCTGACTGCAAATACATGAACAAGTAAATAATTTATATAATTTCAAATAGAATCAAGCATTGTGAAGAAAATAAAACATCCAGGCATTGAGAGTGTACTCCTTTAAAGTGGAAGCTCTCCAGGGATTGGGCTGCAGTTCCTGTTCTTGTCCCTTGCCCAGAAATTCTCCAGCATCTCAAGCTTCCTTTACATCAATTTTCAGGGGTCCTCCCCATCCTTACATTCCATCCAAGCATGGCAGGAGCCTTATTTAATTATTTTGCAAACTGCCAGGCTCTCTTAGCGACCTGGGAAGGAAGCAAAACAAGCGCACTGAAACCACTAGGTGGGGGCGTTGGCCAGGATGGAGCGAAAGTGTGTGTGGTTGCAGGCGGGTGTGTGCTAGGAAACTATTTTCCTTCTGTCTTAGGGGAACTAGGAAAGACTTAAAAAAAAACGTTGGAGGGATGGGAAGCGAGTTGCGGGGAGGGTAGAGAGGAATGATACCAGCTGCGGGCAGCTCTTTCTCTTTTATTTCTGCTTCAAGAGCTTGGGAAGGAGAAAACCACTTGTTCTCCTTAGGGTTTGCCTTTAGCGATATAACGACCTGTGGCATTCTCCATCTGCTTCTGAGTCCCAAACCCTGAGCAGAATATGTTACTTCTGGGGGAAGTTTGATTTTAGCCTCTTCTGTTAAGAGTTGTACTAACGGTGTCTCGGCAAAGAAGGAATTTTGGGAGCGTTCACTGGAGAATCACATTTCATTAACCTGGCTTCTGAGTTTCACTCATTCCTTTAGCGCTTATAAACGTATAATGTAGGTGTTTGCACATCAGCGTGCTCGC